TGTCCAATGTGATGGTGGTAGAAAGATGGGGCCTTTGGGAGGTGATTAGGTCCTGAGGGCGGAGGCCTCATGAATTGGATTAGTGCTCTTATAAGAGAGACCCTACTGAGCTCCCTAGCCCCTTCTACCACGTGTGGATGCCATGTGAGGATACAAGGAGAAGTCTGTGATTGGGAAAGGGGCCCCCAACCGACCACACTGGTACCCTAATGTGACTTCCAGGCTCCAGAACTGTGAGCAATAAATTTCTGCTGTTTACAAGCCACCCAGTCTATGGTAGTTTGTTATAGCAGCCCGAACGCACTAAGACGGTCCCTTGTCCACGCTTGCCAAACCCTCTGGGTGCTCTGCTGTCAGAGTGTTCTTTTCCTGGGAGCAACGACATGTTCCTTATCTGTCTCCCCAGTGCCAGCTGCCCCCTGAAGGAGTTTGTATCTCCAAAGCCCGCACAGCGCCAGGCACACCAGGGACCCTCAAGACACGAGGGCTGCTTGCAGGAGTTTTGCTGAGAGGTTCAAAGTCAACCTGAGGGGAGTTGTCTCTAACTGTTTTCTGTGGGCTTCTCCAAATCTAGACTTTTATCAGTGCCTTGGACGAATAATATACTTTCAAGAAACCATAAAGCTGGGAGAGAGAGATAATTAGATGAAAGGCTCAAGGTTCAAGATCTAACAATCTACAGTTTGGCCATAAAGCCTGAAAACGTAGATAACTTTTTTTTTTTAACATCTTTATTGGAGAAAATTGAATTACAGTGTTGTGTTAGTTTCTGCTGTATAACAAAGTGAATCAGCTATATGCATACGTATATCCCTGTATATCCCCATATCCCTTCCCTCTTGCGTCTCCCTCCCACCCTCCTTATCCCACCCCTCTAGGTGGTTGCAAAGTACGGAGCTGATCTCCCTGTGCTATGCGGCTGCTTCCCACTAGCTATCTACCTTACATTTGGTAGTGTATATATGTCCATGCCACTCTCTCACTTTGTCCCAGCTTACCCTTCCCCCTCCCTGTGTCCTCAAGTCCATTCTCTAAGTCTGTGTCTTTATTCCTGTCCTGCCCCTAGGTTCTTCAGAACCATTTTTTTTTTTTTTTAGATTCCATATATATGTGTTAAGATACAGTATTTGTTTTTCTCTTTCTGACTTACTTCACTGTGTATGACAGTCTCTAGGTCCATCCACCTCACTACAAATGACTCAATTTCGTTTCTTTTTTTTTTTTTTTTTGCATTATGCGGGCCTCTCACTGCTGTGGCCTCTCCCGTTGTGGAGCACAGGCTCCGGACGCGCAGGCCCAGCGGCCATGGCTCACGGGCCCAGCCGCTCTGCG